GCTCCTCGTATGACTTGTGCTCCAGACCCCTCCCCAGCTTGGTTGCTCTCCTCTGGACATGTTCCAGCAACACAACATCTTTCTTGGAGTGAGGGGCCCAAAACTGAACACAGTATTCGAGGTGCAGCCTCACCAGCACCGAGTACAGGGGGATGATCACTTCCCTACTCCTGCTGGTCACACTATTCCTGATACCTTGGGAAGGTTCATGCTTCCCTGGTGCTGTGAGCATCCTTGGTACTCACAGAAAGGGTGCAAAGGCATCAGCATTCGGTTTTGACTGTTTCAGCTTGGGTTATGCTTGTGATGGCTGGTGTTGGCATGGCAGGGTCTTCTCAGTGGCATAGCTGGAGGGCGGGTTTGTCACACCAGCCCATCTCCTCTGGGCAGTCCATAGCAAGTGTAACCCACAGAATCCAAACCTTGGTTGTCCCTTACCTCCCTTTAATCATCCCCTCCTCTGCTGTGGTGCCTGTTCTCCCGCGTAGCATCTCACAGGCTCCAAACCCACTTTCAGATTGCCCGAGTATTTCAGCTAGGTGCTTAGCCAACCCTCAAGGGCTGGCCATGTGCTGGGCTGTATCTACAATCCATGCTGTCCATCTCTAAAGGCTGGACGTGGGCATTCCTCATTCCCTCGTCCCAGTAAAATTGCAGCAACCTCGGGCAGACATCTGTTGCTCTTTGATGGACTCTTGGATGACCTGGGCACCCAACACAGGCACAAGTGGATGGGTTCTTGCAGGCCAATGGAAAGAAAACCATCAGCTCTTTCTCCGTTAGATGTCTGGGGGCTGGATCCCACCTTACCATGTACAAAAGCATCCTTGAATCACCTGACATGAGTTTCAGGGTGGGATCACCCTTTGCTGTTGATCAGTCCTTGTGCCAGGCAGCAGCTTTACATGGATCATGACCAGTGATTCTGCAGTCCCTTTGCTGTTCTGGTTGTGGAGTGGAGGGGGGTGGAAATAATTGCCCTTTTCTCACTTTTTAGTATTTTTTCCTATATTAGAAAATTTATTGGAGGACATTTTAAACAAAGTAGGTTCCCAACAGCATCGAGGCCAGCTCAAGGCAACATGAGGAACTGTGTCATTGGAAATGTCATTTTGGGCCAATGGGTGGGAGGGGATGGAAGGACAGGCAATGAAATACATCTCAGTGAAAAATGATTGAGTTGTTCCAGCTGGCCTTTTCCCACAGAAGGCACGGTGGGTGCTAGGGACCCCCCTCCAGGAATCCCCCGTCTGCTCTCCATACCCAATGTTCCACCCCCCTCAAGGTGACAGCACTAACTCATGGCCCCATTTTTGGCTCCATCCCTGTGTCCAGCTGGTGAAGACGGCGGAGCTGGACCCTAGGCAGAACTACCTGATGGGATTTCATCCCCACGGGGTCCTGGCAGCAGGAGCCTTTATCAATTTCTGCACAGGGGCATCGAGCTTTTCCACGCTCTTTTTTGCATCACCCCACACCTGATGATGCTCTCCCTGTGGTTTCGCATCCCCTTCTTCAGGGACTACCTGATGAGCGGAGGTAAGCAGGGTGGCAGCACGGGCAAGCGGGGGGGTGGGTGGGTGAGTCGGATGCTTTTTGGGGGAGCAGAGAGCGAAAACACCAGGGAGGCTTGGGAAGAGGAGCCGAGGGTCTTTTTGTCCCCACCTGCGGCCAATCTGACCCCATGCAAGGACACAGCTACTGGAGATGGAACCCAAAAACTCCCTGAAGTTAAAAATTGCCCTCTTAGCTGTTATCTCTGCTGTCCAACTTCATAGATTGCCTCTAAGCTCAGGGCATCGCTGTGCCAGGTAATAGCAAAATGCAGAGCAGATCGCGAGCAAAAATGCCAAGACTAGCAAGACCAGGGGGTCCCGTATTTTTTTTCTTTCCATGAAAATAATATTCAGGCTTGAAATTGTGGCTGCCACTGAAAGAAAGAGAAAACCTATTTATCTGGAGCTGCTGCTTGCAGGGAAGGAGCAGCCAGGGAGAGAGGATGCAAATAGCAGCTCGCGCTGTTGCGAAACCACGTGGCAGGAGAGGAAGAAGAAATGGAAAGGAATAGGTAAAAATTAAATGGAGAGAGAGGAAAGGGAGTCTGGAGAGATTTTTGGAGCCTGGCAGGAGGTGACCTCCACCTCTCACGGGTGGGCTCGGGGAACGGCCACTTCCCCAGCCAAACGGGCTCATGTCGTAGGCAGGATTCAACAGATTCATCACCCTGTTTTCCATGTAAACCCTGGCTCCTGCTGCTGAAAAAATATTTACACGGAGAGCGAGGAATCATAACAGTGAGATATGAGAGAGTTATGACCCAGGCGAAGGAAGGTTTAATCGCTGTAACGCGGGAGTCTGGTGCGTAGCTCATTTTCAGGTCGATTGAATCCATTTGACAAAGAGGCTTTAATTTGCAAATTATTTCAGCCCCTGAAACAAGGATTATTTTTTTTTTTTTTTTATAAATCAAAACAACATTGCCTTGTCATTTCAGAACTAAAGGCTTCTAACTTTTGTAAGTAACTAACAACCAAATTCTGCATTAAATTCCACTTTAAATTAGCAGCATCCATGGAAATTCATGTGCGTTTTGACCTAAAGCAAATGTTCTACTGCCTCTGGAATGATTCAGGGTTGGACATGGTTTCATCTGACAACAAACTGAAACAGATTTTTCCCTGGGGCTTAAGTGCAGCTAGTTCTGAGTTTACTTTTTTCCTGATTTTTTCTCCCATTTCTCAGTTCTAGGCCAGGCAGCAAAGGGATAATTGTATATTCACACAGCAGAGCTATGCACGAATCCAGCACCTTTCAGGGGAGCTGGGCTAGGATTGTCAAAGTGTAGGAAATCTCTGAAAATAAAGTGTCTAGCACCCCTCCGGAGCTGGATAATGGGGAAAAATCCTACAGAGCAAACCACAGTTGTATGGGTTTTACAGATGCTCATTTTTTCTTTCTCTCTGCCCCCCCAGGTCTTGTCTCCTCCGACAAGGAGAGTGCATCCTACGTGCTGCAGAAGCCAGGGGGTGGGAACATGCTGGCCATCATCGTTGGAGGGGCACAGGAGGCGCTGGATGCTCAGCCAGGATCCTACACCTTGCTGCTGAAGAATAGGAAGGGATTTGTCCGCCTGGCCATCAAGCACGGGTGATGCAGGGGATGGGGTCGAGGGGTGCTTCCAGTCTGTGGCTGGTTACTGGGGTGATCTTGCTGATTTTGGAGAGGTGTTTTGGGGTGGACTTTGCTAACCATGCCCCTATATTGGGTTTGGCTCCCCACAGCACCCCTCTGGTCCCCATCTTTTCCTTTGGGGAGAATGACCTCTACAGGCAGGTGAGAAACCCCAAGGGCTCCCGGCTGCGGCAGCTCCAGCACCGGCTCCAGCAGATCATGGGCATTTCCCTTCCCCTCTTCCATGCACGAGGCATCTTCCAGTACAGCTTCGGGCTGATACCCTACCGGCGGCCCATCTGCACTGTCGGTAAGTCCTTCCTCAGTATGCCTGCATGATGCTGGCCACACTCAGCCTGGCCAAAAGGGGGACCGGGGACAATTCCTGGGTTGTGTCATCCTCCTGCTGGGCTGCAGCATCATGCCAGAGAGCACGAGCTGCGGTGGGCTAGAAACGCACTGGCAAAGGAGCATCCCCAACTGCTCATGCATCATGCCCAGGTCATCTGGGCTGTGCTGAGAAAACCCCAGAGCAAATGTGGCCACCCCATCACTCCTGTGGGACACAGCCAACCCCAACTCCAGTGCAACCCAGTGGTGCGAACCACTTCAATAACGTTGGGTTAGAGCAAATTTCACAAACACAAGTAGGTCAACACCTACACGGTTTGCAGGTTTGCACAGTGTCCAGTGCAGCCAGCCACAAACCCCAACCTGTTTGCACATGAATAAGTCACCCTGTTTTGACCTGAGACCATGCCCACATGGGAGACCAAATCTCAGAAAAGTCTTTCATTTTGAAGAAGCTTTGCCTGGTTTCAACAACCCCATGCTTGGCCCACCGGTGTGACCGATGTTCTATGAATCAGTCTAACTAAAGAGGCTGTTTGGAAAGGTCAGAGCTCACCCCACTGATTAGGTTTGACAGCCAGCAATTACTTCTAATTGTTTTACAACCGCTTTGGATTGTCTCAATGGTTTTATGAGCTGTGCAGTATCACAAGGGCTCTTCATTAGTCCGATGAGGAGCAGCGTTACAGGATGATGAAACCCTCCGTCACTTGACAAACACAATTTGAGTAAGAGACCAGAACATGAGAGAGACCTCATGGACTTCCCTGTGCCCTGCAGGCACCTGGTCCTGCTGCTGGTGGCTCTGGGAGATGGGAAGGGGCTTCTTCTGGTGTTGGGAATCAAATAGTTTAGATTTGCCCTTGAAAAAAGCATAATTTTCTAAAGATAGGGGGTACTTGGTTCCTAATAAAAAGCAGATGATTCACTGAGGCTTTGATCTGAGCAAAGTGGAAGCACCCCAATCGCTAGCGTATTTAGATAACCTTAGGCTCCCCCGTGCCTCGGTTTCCCCATTTGCAATGCAGGGCCATGTGGGAACAGCTTGGAAAGCCCAACCCAAACATTAGGATGATGTTGCCTTTATCTGCAGCACATCTGAGATGTTGGGAGTGGCTGTAGGGACTGCACTGGGATGCAGTACTCTTTACTTCAAAGAGCTACACAGAGGGTCTTTGGCATTACTCAACTTTGCAGATGGAGAAACTGAGGCAAGGAGAGATGGGACCTGGGAGGACAGGATCTGCACCACCATCTCCCTGCCTCCTTGTCTGTGCTGCCTCCCAAACCCCAAGACATGTCTGGTCATATCAATCTGTCCACCACAATGGTTGGACTCGATGATCTTAAAGGTCTTTTCCAACCCAAACGATTCTATGATTCTACCCTTGGAGAGGTGGAGCCCAGCTCTGTGTTAAGAAGTACAAAGCACCCACCGGGACCTGACGCTGGCTCCTCCTAGTGCCTGTGCTTGTTTTCCAGTTGGGAAGCCAATTCCAGTGCAGAGGAAGCCCAGACCCTCCGAGGAAGAGGTTGATCAAGTCCACCAGAAATACTTAAATGAATTGTGCAAGCTCTTTGAGGAGCACAAAGCTAAATATAACATCCCAGAAGACAGGCACCTGGAATTTATATAGAGCTCCTCAAGCAAGGTGAAACCATGGAGATCAAGCTTCAAGTTTTCCTCTATCTCTGGAACTATTTCACAACCTCACCTCAGTCACAGTTAACATACGCTCTGTAGGGAGAAGGACTTGATTTTCCCAGCATTTGCGTGGGTTTAGGGCCAGAGTTTTCCTCTTTTTCTCCCTGTAGGACGCATAAAAGAGATAAAGAAGAAGGAAAAAAAAACCCAAACCCAACATCTGACCAACCCAGCACTGTTGAAACTCTCCAACAGAAAACTCACACTTCCAATCTGGTTTGGAGGCCAGTTTTTCAAGATATTTATAGACAAAGATGAATTATTGAAAGTTTTCTTTGCATTATTTTCATTCAGAAATGGGATGAGGAGCCACAATTTCTGCTGAATGCATATGGGGTTTTTTAAATAGAATTTGTTTAGAACGATAAATGATCATTGGTTGCTTGGTGCTCTTCATGTCTTTAATTGCTCTGGGCATTTTTCTCCCCACCTGAAACACCGTTTATCAGAAAGCTCGTGCACCCAGCACGGTGCCAGGCACCCTCAGTAGCAACACGATGCTGCCCTGGGCCGAAAGAAATAAAACCTTTACAGAAGGCAAAGGGTTCATCCAGAGGGTTCGTTCTACCTGGGCAAATAATTGAAATGAATAAATGTTATTAATTTAACCCCAGACACCCCTGCATGGGAACACCTTGGGCTATCACCAGCTATGGCAGCGCTGTCGCTGTGCACTTCATTTTACTAACGAGGCCGGAGGAGACGCATGGCCAGGAGATGGGAGAAGAGAGAAGTGATTTGGGACAGGAAAGATGGCTCATAAAGCCAGGCTTGGCAGGTGATCAAGGCTTTAAATAGCTGCTGCTTCTTGATATCCAGAACTTTATTAAACTCCGCACTTAATGGGATTTTACAAGGTGGAAGTTTTAGGTGGCAGGAAGCCATCTGCTCAGATCAGCTTTGCGTCGCTCCTGGAGAGCCCTCACACCATCACCTTCTTCTCTCTCTCCCTTCATTTCTCCTTCTCTTCCCCACGTCCCATTCCCCACCTGCAAGGAGCCACCAGAAATCCTGCAGAGCACGAACGCTTCGTCGCACCCGGGATTTTTCTTACTGCAGCTGCAAGAATTGCATTCAACAAGGAAAACACCCAGAACTGTTTCTATACTGACAATACCAGGGCCATCATTGTGTTTTGTTTTCTTTTCCCTTTCCTCCTGCCCTGATCAAATTACTCCACCGGATTCTTAATCTGAATAACCATCTGCAAATCCTTTCTACTCCCAGAAAACAAGCAGCAACAGGGAAGAATTTGATGGAGCCCTTATCGACATTTCTAAACATTCCTGTAATCCTACACTTAATCCAGTCAAATAAAGCAGGTCACCTGCTATGATTTCTTGCTTGCCTTCTATTAATAGACTTTTTCTTTTGTCCTTATTTAAGGACAGAGGTGCCTAAGCAGGAGGGAGATTTATGCACCAGGAAAGTAAAAATTATTCTCTCTCACTCTTTTCTTTTGGTGTTCATCACCATCCAAGCTTTACCCTAACTCCAGTTGTTTTTTCCTATCCTTTCCTCTGCCTTCCCTGCTACCAGCCATGCCACTTGCAGATCCCAGGAACATCACCATGACCTTCTCCAAACATCCCAATGGGGACTGGTGCTGGAGGGGAGTGATCCCTGTGCCCTCGGGGACACAGCACGGGATGCTGTGGGGATGGGGGAAGTCTCCAGGGGTGATGACAAGGAGCTGAGATCTTGATGCAATGGGAAAAGGAGCAAAGGTGCTGCTGTTGGGGTGGATGTCAGCAGTGGGTGTGGGAGAGGATTTGGGGAGATGACAGATGGGTGGCTGGATGTGGTGATACTGTGGGGATGTAGGAAATGGGGAGGGAGCAGGATGCAAGGTCCAGTCCATGGCACAGAGAAGGATGACAAGCGTTGGTACAGACAAGAGGGGTTGGGTCTGTAGGAGTGACGTGACTCTGTCCCAACCTGATGGAGAAGCTGCATTAGAAGGTGTGCTCCCCAGATGTCCATGGAGGCCTCAGTCTTCTCAAAATGATCCGAAGGCTGAAGCCCCTCTGCTCTGAGGCCAGGCTGGGAGAGTTGGGGGTGTTCAGCCTGGGGAAGAGAAGGCTGCGGGCAGAGCTGAGTGCGGCCGGTCAGGGCTTAAAGGGGGCCCAGAGGAAAGGGGGGGACAAGCTTTTTAGTAGGGCCAGCTGGGACAGGACAAGGGGGGATGGTTTTAAACTGAAGCAGGGTAGGTTTAGACTGGATCTAAGGAAGAAATTCTTTACGCTGTGGGTGGTGAAACCCTGGCAGGGGTTGCCCAGAGAGGGGGTGGAGGCCCCATCCCTGGGAACATTCCAGGTCAGGTTGGACGGGGCTGTGAGCAACCTGATGTGGTTCAAGGTGTCCCTGCTCCCTGCAGGGGGGTTGGACTGGATGGCCTCTAGGGGTCCCTTCCAACCCAAAGCATTGTATTATTCTATTCTATGATTCTCCTTTGGGGACCTGGCGTGGCGATGCCTCCGATTCCAGAGACACAGCTACTTGGGAGGTGGGATAGTCCATCAACTTCCTGACCAGCGATGCCATCCTGAAAGAGAGAAGAGGCAGAAAAGGGGTGTTCAGGAAAAAATCCCAGGGAGGAATGGGGAGGAGGATGCTGGAGCCATCTGGGGGCTGATGGGGTGGTCAGGGATATGCAAGACCTGAAGGCAAAGGGAAACTGCAGTGCTGGAGAAGAGGGGTCAGAGGAGGGCGTTGGCTATATATAATTGGCTTCCTTCGAGGTCAGTTTTATCCCACAGACTGGAACGTGTCCTTGATCCCTCAGGGACCTATATAACCCAAGAGAGGTCAGTGCCTGGGCTTGTGTTAAATATAACATTAAGAATAATAATTCATAGGCGGCCTTGAAGCCAGGGCTATTCAGGGAGTTCAGCGCGATGAGAGGTCTCATCTTCTCGAGAGGCCAGAGCTGTCTCTGAGCGAAATGCCAATTGATGACAAGCTTTTGTGCTATTCCAGCCTCGCGCAGAGCTGTCTGGAAGATTAAAACTCCTCCACTGCAACACAAGGCAGGAGAAACTTTAAGAAAAAAGGAGTGTCCGGATCAGCCAGTCAAACCAACCTATGCTTGAGTCTGGACCCTGCACTTGGAACTGGCCCAGTTGGAGGCATAAATGCTAGGACTGGGGGACATCCAAGCTGTCACCTCAAAATGAGGACCATTTAAAGCTAAAACAACACAGTATGTTTCCTTCCAGTGTGTCCAATCCCTGCTCCTGCGACTGGCTTTGATTTGAGAAGCCCAAAGAGAAGCGATAAATTCATTGCCTGTCTTGCAGAAATCCCAAATTTCAGCCTTTTGGGGACTTCTATGGAAATTCCAAATTGGAAAACGCAGTAAAAAATAAAAAGTGTAGTGATTGGGTATTCCCCTCCTACCTGTCTCTTCCACCGACCGCTTCCCTCATGATCTCTCCAGTATTTCTGTTGCGAGAGGCTCTAATCTGGATTTGCCTTACTTAGCGGGTTCAGATCATGAGGCTCAGAAGAAAACCTCCGACGCCTGATGAATACAAAATACGGACTAATTCCCCAAGAGGAGGGAAGCCAAGCAAAATACTTTTTTTTGCCCTTCTGTAGCTCTAGGCCCGCAAAATTGTTTTACTGCCCTGGGAATGGGGCTAAAAGGTTGCTTGCTGTTGCGGCAAACAACTAGAAAAATGTGTGGTTTTCTGCTCAGGGAAAGATTTGCTGCCTTTAATTCAATAAAGTCCCCAAATGTGGTATGTTAAACATCCCTCCCTCACGCCACAGAGCCTTTTCCTTTTCAAGAAAGGAAATAAAATTGCAGCTGCGTCTGAAACCCATCACTTTTCTTTCAAAACTATTCAAAGCATTTAAAAAAAAACCCCACAGGTCTCCCTGGGAATATGGACACTTTCTTCACTTTCTTTGGTCATCTTTTAGTCCTGAGTTAGAATCATAGAATCATAGAATCATAGAATCACTTTGGTTGGAAAAGACCTTTGAGATCATCGAGTCCACCCGTTAACCTAACCCTGCCATCCCACCACTAAACCCTGGCCCTAAGCACCTCATCTATCCTTCTTTTAAATCCCTCCAGGGATAAGGACTAGATCACCTCCCTGGGCAGCCCATTCCAGAGCCTGACAACCCTTTCGGTGAAGAAGTTTTTCCCAATGTCCAACCTAAACCTGCCCTGGCGCAGCTTCAAACCATTCCCCCTTGTCCTATCATCTGTTACCAGGGAGCAGAGGCCGACCCCCACCTCCCTACAGCCTCCTCTCAGGCAGTTGTAGAGGGCCATCAGGTCTCCCCTCAGCCTCCTCTTCTCCAGACTAAACAACCCCAGTTCCCTCAGTCGCTCCTCATAAGACTGGTGCTCTAGACCCCTCCCCAGCTTTGTGGCTCTCCTCTGGACCTGTTCCAGCAATGCAACATCAACCCAATGAGCCGCTTTTCTGCCTCTCCTATCAGCTGAGCTCACCTCTTGGCACAGCTCTTCTGGGAGGAACTATCTGACACAGGATTTTGGGCAGACCGCCTTGTTCAGGTTATAAAAACCCACTGGCGGAGAAAAAAACCTGCAATGCCCAACGTCCCACATGAGGCAGGGGGGTATATATTGGATTTGAGGAACTACTGGCTGTGGTTGATCCATTTTCCAAGCTTGTGTCTACTCTTACTCCTGCCCATGTCCCGTCCCCAACCCACTCGGAGATATGAAGCCATAAACTCTGTGCTAGCGACCTGCTAAGCCACCACATCGCTGGGGCATGGGGGTCTTGTGTGCTTCAGACAGCGTTAAGACCTTCAAAATGCAGCATGCACTTAGCAGGAGGGGAAACTTCTATAAAATCAGGTAGTTGCGAGCCAGCATTTTGGATGGCGGGGTACAAAATAACGCCTGTGAGCTACATGGATTCGTGCTTTATTAGATCATACGAGGTC